GCGTGCCCGTCCTGCTTCAAAAGGGGGAAGCGTCGATCACCGAAACCATGATTTTCTAACAGCACAATGTTAAATAAAGTCAAAGAAAGAGCCTCTTTTTACTCCACTGAAGAGCAGGAGATGATCATGAACGCATATGAGGAATTCAAGACCATAATCACGGCTAAATATAACACCTCCACCGCTGCGAGGGCTAGACAAGAAGCACGCAAAATATCACAGACACGTTAAATGCGTAAGTGTTGTAAATGTATCGGCTCATTTTAATGCCTCATCACCCCAATCAATCAGATGATATGTCTTTAAATGAGCTGCTGGCAGTAGGCTTAATGAATGCATCATCCAATGAGATCTATAGCGACAATAATGATCTCAACTCTTTCACAATAAGATAAAAACAAGCCCAAAGAGCATCTACTGATCCTCATTAATATGAGGATATATGTACTGTATGCCCTCATGTATCATGTACTATATATGTGTATATACATGTATGTGTAGATCACCATATAGAACTAGTTTGAATCTGTGTGTGTGAGTCTGTGTGTGGGCGGATCAGTGTGTGTGTGTGTGTGTGTGTGTGTGTATTATTCATCATCAGACATTCAATCAACTGAAGCAGTGAAGATAAATAGTGTGTGATTCTCTCTGTTCTTATCATGAGTCCACCTTCATCATGTTCTACAGTAATGATATGCTGGTGTACTAATAACACTGTCATATCATTATGAGTGCTTTAACCCTCATGTATGCAACGCAGCCATCAAGAGGACATGGGAGCAAGTAAACACCAACACACACACATTACTCAGAATGCTGAGTCAGTACAATATGTGCCATGGTGATGTAATGAACACATCCATAAGTTTATTAAGCGCCTAATAAACTTTACCAACAGCACGGCATGCAGCGGCTTTCCCCATGTTCTCCGCATCGCCGACACTGTACAACAATGTACCACTCGCAGAACAGCTCAAGGCTGCATCCAGTGTGTGAGACATCAGTGCTCGGCTGCAGCGTGTGGTGTTCAATGTATGCTCCAGAAGGTCTGTAAATAAATGATTCCTTGTGGGCAGAATGGATAGCGCTCGTATAGGAAGTCATCGTGATGTGATAACGGATCTTTGCGATGTGAAGACTGTCAATACTGACCCGGTGTCTGTAGCTAACTGTCAATACTGAC